CCCACAATTGTCTAGATTCTCCTAGAGGTAGAGCAACTAACTTTTTCTTACACACATTTATTCTTAGAAAATAAGGTTGGGAATGGACACTCTTATAGAGTAATTCTTTACCTTAGGAAAATACAGGGTGACCCAAAAGTTATCGGACAGTAACTCTGTATTCTAGCAAAGGGTGGGCGAAAATTCTTCATTATATTTGTTCCTTGTTTTATCCTCTATCACTTAAGCTTTATTTACTCCGATTAGCTTTAATTTGAAGAGAGATATGCCAAAAAACGCGTGCCCATTTACTTTTGGGTCACCATGTATTTTGTGATTATTCACCTATCTAAAATTACAAATTTCTTTATTTACATTAATATTTATTTTTATAGAGAACGTCCGAGACCGAAAATTTCCAAAACTCAAAATCAAGACAACTTTTCCCGTTATGAACGATTTACTTAAACAACAATTAGAGTTAACTAAATGGGAAATGAATGTAATTAAAAGTAACAGAAATTTGGCCCAAATAAGCCTCCATATTCTCTTAATTCTTTAATTTCTACTGCTATAAATGAAAGTGAAAATAAAATGTGTACAGTTAATGAAGTAATTTTTTATAATTAAAGTCAAAACAAATTACACGATACCCCCAATACTCGATATAGGGGATGTGCCGTTTCGCCTTTCGTCTTCAGTTTTTTAAAATTAGTTTTGGCACACCCTTCCTAGATACAACTCAATTTAAGAGACATTTCTTAAACATTTCTTAAAATTTGGTTAATCCCTGGGTGGGGGAGAGTTTTCTAAATGATACCCTCAATTTAACAGACCTCATTATAAGATATATTTTTCAACCCAGAGGTTTCTATAAGTAAGGTCTGGCTCACCCCTATTTGGCACTCCTATAGCTATTGAGGAGCCTCAATTTAAGATACTTTTATTATAAGGTATGGTGTTTTCAATAAGGGTGTATCTTTTAATGGGATGGAATTGTTGAATTTACCGTAAAAGCTCTAATTAAAGTACTGGACGTCTATTTTTCAAAGGGTCAATTTAAGCGGGCTTATATTAGATATGGGCTTCTATTAGGGAATGGGTGTTTATTTTTCGATGGACCTCCTTGGGTGTGTTTGTATTGGATATAAGCTTCTAATAGAGCCGGGCTTTAATTAGAGCATTTACTTTAATTAGAGCAAAAAAATATTTTTCAGATTTACAATTTTATTATCAAATATTTTGATTATTATAAGAACCACAAACAAGTAAAAAAATATTTTTTAAAAATAAATTTAAATTTTTTTAGCGTTCTGATTGGCAAAATTTAATAAAATATATTTTACATTCTGATATAAATATTAATTTTGTTAAAGTAGACAAGGAAAAGTTTAATTTAAAAACTTTATTAAAAAAATCTAAAAAATTGTTGTGTTGTTCAGAAATGATTGATAACGAGTAAATTAATTTTTAAATTTAATTATTATTTTTTTAAATTAATAGGATAACCGAAGAAAGTGTTTATTGGAAAACAAACTTTTGAAGGGATGAGGGGTACATGAATGAATGAATTCTAAATATTTCTTTAAAATAATGAAAAAATTTTCAACATTTTTGTATAATTTCTCCAAAATCTAAATAAACTTTTTATAAATAAATATATAAACCCATGAAAATATTTTTATCCATATTTATTTTCCAAAAAAAAGAAAGATTTACCTTTAGAATAAACGAAAAATTTTTTTAAAAATTATTTTAAATAAAGTAAAGATAAATTTTTATTCATATTCTAGGACACGCACTGATTAGTAATGACATCACATTTTAATGGGGGGCAACAACCATTATTGGAACAATAGGCATTCTGACTATCACATTTTTGGCATTTACCGTTTACACATCCTGAACCTGTAGAAGACGAAAATAAATTTATTTATTTTTAAATAAATTAAATTTGCTCGCAACTCTCATTAACTTGAGAATTTTAGTGCCCGAAAGGCACACAAAAACTGTCTAACCTTTATTTAACCCCGGGTTCGGATCGAGAAAATGTTAAGTGTACATAAGTACAAAAAGTTCAATTTGGAATTAAATAGGAGAAAAATTTTCAAAATATAATTACGCTACAAAAAAATTTTTTAAACTTTTTTAGCGTCGAAGGCGAGACTTTTGAGAATTTTGGAGGTTTTTAAGCCAGATTTCTGGAATTTTTTGCGCCACGCAGGAAAATTTTGGAAATTTTAAGGTTAAATTTAATTTTTTAACTAAAAGTCTATTTGTAAGTACTGTACTTCCAAAATATTTGCGAATTCGAACCCTGATTTAACCATATTATACATACCAATCCCCAACATACTAATCCCCAACTAATTTTTCCCTCTCAAACAGAAAAATTATTCTTAGCCATACCAAAACAACATCCATCATCTTTTTGACATTTGTTCCCATCTTTGACACAAGGAGCATTGGAACAATAAAATTTGCCCAAAGATTTTTTGCAAGATAAGTTATCACAGCATTTTCCGTTTCCACAATTACCAAAATGTTTACTACATTCTTAAGAATAAATTACTTAGGGCTCGGAATTGTTTTGAAATATATTTTTTCCAAAATGTGTATATTTCGGCTAGAGAAGCTAAATATGCCATTCTCATATTGTGATTTTGAACGAAGTTACATTTCAATATATTTCAATATTTTTCCAATTTTCCAGTTATTTCAATACTTGGCACTTTTTTCAATCCCTCTAATTATTCCCTAGAATGGCGCTCAGCCCTTATTGAAAAGACGCGCCCCAGTATACAGGTGCTTTACCGACTGAGCCTCTGGGACGCTGCCTTCTCTGTTAATAGTCCTAAACCCCCGTCTTGTGAGCGTTTTAAATTCTAGCCAGCTGGATCTTTCTCTTCCTTACAATATTTCTCTTCAAAATCATACCATTCGAACAATGCCCTCCCGTTTTGTCAATATAACAACCATATCCGGGGCAGCAATCGCTAGTTTTACTGCAAACGTCCTTGAGTTGACCACATTGTTTGCTGGATTGAAATAAAATAGGTACTATAAAAATTGAAATAATCAAGAGTTTGATTGAAGCCGACATTTTTTAAATTTATTTTTTAGAAGTTCAACTCACAATCTGAAAAATAAAATTAATTTTTGGCAAATTATTACAGTAAATTATTTGGTAAAAATTATCAGATCAAATTTATACGCATCAGTACGACGAGTTCAGACAATAATATTATATAATAAAATAAATAAGATAGACGTAAACAAATAATTTTCTTAATTTAAAAGGTGTTTAAATGTCTTTTAAGGTGATTTGGGAGTAAGTCAATAAATTGGGATATAGCAAAAGTGACTTGGCCCGATTAAAATGATTGGGGGTTGAATTGCGCACATGTTAAGGAATAAACAGTGCACGGTACGGTACAGAATACCGAGTACTAGTTTAAATCATTGAGTTCTACGAGTTCTGGATTAAAAAGGATATCGAGAGATTTGGAGAATTCGAAAGCGTTGAGAATGTGTATTTAGTAGGGTTTTTAGTAGGTTTATTAACCGGTACCTCCGGTTTTCGTTTAATCTAAACTTTGGAAATCCGGTTTTCGGTTTTGAGTTTTAGGCAAATATCGGTTTTATTTTGGTTTAATTTTTGATAAAATCACTCATTTTCACAAATTTCCGGTTTTCGGTTTTTCAAACTTTCTAAAAACGGCTAATTTTTGGCAAAAAAATTCAAAAATTCCGGTTTTAAAACCGGTCGCCAACAACCCTAGTATTTAGCCAAAGCTTTGATGTTGACTAATCTCTAGAGATAGTCTCTACTAATCTCTAGAGATAGTCTCTACTAATCTCTAGAGATAGTCAATAATCTCATATTCCCTCTGAAGGAATTAATATTAATTTTTGGAGATAATAAAGAAAATTATTAAATAAAATTAAAAATGATATGGCCAAGGCAGATACAAAATCATTTTTAAAAGCTTCGTACAAACAATAAAATATAAAAAATTTTATAAAAGATTGCTTGGGATTTAAAATTTGGCTTTTTTATTATTTAAACAGCAATAAAAATAAAAGCTTTTAAATTTAAAATTAATTATCAAGCAAGAATTTCTAAATATAGTTTTAAAAATTCTTTTTCTATTTACCTAAAAAGGCATCTAACGCAAGTTTAATATGTCGCAATTGAAGAAATGGCAGTGTTCACGTGAAAGTGAATATGTACAGGCATAATAATAAAAGAAAAATTAATTTTTTTGAAGAAAAAAATCCTCAAAAATCAATTATCAACGTGGCTATGAAATGAAAGAAGTGAAAAGAATTATGGCCATAAATTTAAATATCTTTTAAGCAATGAGTGAATTTTTAGTAAAGCAGAGCTGGGGCTATTTCTCTCCTTCAGCTAAATGTTATTCGACGGCTATAAGCTAATCAGCATCTTCAGTAGACCGGACTTTTCTGTTTCCATTCTTCATGCCAGCTTATTCTGGGCATTTGGAATCTAAAAGCTAGATGCTTTACATTTATTTAAATTATTTAAATAAATTTTAAGAGCAACAACAAATAAACAATCTAAAGAATTTGGAGAGCCTGTAGAGATCTTGAATAGGGGCGTTTCCAAAAAACTGAAAAAATCAGATTAGTAAATTATGTTGTTAATCATCATTAATTCCACTGCTCAATTATCCGTTCACTTCCCAAATGTCCACTCTCCAAATCTCCGGGAGCCTATTGTTTATGCAGTTCTCCCCCACCCAATGGAGATAAAAGTCTCTTAAATAGAAGACCACGATCTTTGAAACGATTCGGAAATCGTCCGAGGTCGGACCATGTCAGTCGGGACTAGGAAATAGGATCTCATTTCAATAATTTTTAAAATTTAAAAAAATTTTTAAATCCGCAATTTTCAAATCCTGAAATTATCGTCAGCATTTATCCTTCGGAACACCATACAAAAAAACAAAAGAAAAATTACAGACTTCTATATTTATCACAACATTCTCTATATATTTTTATTTCGAATCTTTCATATCTCCCTTCATCTTATCCATATTTTCTTTCGTTTTCACAACCATATAGCATATGAACCAGATACAGGCAAAGATAAGAACACTGAAAATTAAAAGAAATTTTTTTTTCTGTATTTCAAAAATAATTTCTTACCATATTCCAGCCACAATTATAAGTTTTTCTTTAAGACTCAATTTATTTTCTATCAAAAGCTTGTATTTGCTACTCTTGGGCTGAAATTATAAAAATAAATGAAAATTTTTAATTTACAGTCAGATTTCAATTGTAGATACACCCTTTGGAATGGAACAATTTTATCTTATAATGAGGTGTATATTAAATAGAGAGTATCGCTCAGGCACTTACATTGATGATTTTAATAGAGGGGCACGTTAGATAGAGGTTATCGCTGAGGCAAAGCCTCTATCACATGGTAACCTAATTTTAAAAAAGCGTCTCTTATATAGAGGTGTATCTAGTATTGGGTGCATCTTTTGAGTGTTTTAATAGAGGGATACATTAAATAGAGGGTATGGTTTAGGAAACCCTCCCTTAGAAGCCTACTTAATTCTAGAGGCCGCTCAGAGGCCAACCCAATTTTTGAAAACGTCTCCTAAATAGAGGTGTATCTAGTATTGGGTGTCTCTACAAAAGAGGTCCGACTGTTGATTTTCTAAACTTACAATTCTAAGTTGAATATTACACTTGGGTCCATTTGGCGCTTCCCTTGCAATACTTTTCCCTCCACGGTGTTGGAAAGCTGCTTTCTGTGGCAGCAAATATAAAGAAAGCAGACGGTAGTAGTTAAGATCTCCGTCCTTGTATTTGACCTCCCAAGTCATTGGATTTAATCCGTAAATTTTGCTCTGCTTGACACTGTTGCAGACAAAAGGCGGGTTACAAGAATCGAAAGAAACACTACATTGATCATCTGTTGGACCCAACCTAAACCAGGCAATTTTGTCATCAACGTGCACGTCGACTGAAGACATTTTATTGTTGATTCCATCGAATTTTTGGGGGCATTCACACAAAATGGGCTCTCCAACTAGAAAACAAATTTGGTTGATTAGAAAGCTTCCTTCCAAGAATCTCACCCTGTTGCATGCCCACATGGACTCTATCTCCTTTGTAGCCCCAACCAATCTCCAACCCTTCAGGCTTCAAGCACTCTCCACTTCCGTTGCTACAAGCAGCCTGGTTATCACAAAAAGCGTGTTCATTGTATGGTCCTTTTTTGAGCTTCTCAAAACGTTCCAAATCAATGCTGTGGGCGAAGGGAACACTGAAAAATGAATACAAGCCTTTGAATCAAAAAATTTTATCTTACAGATTGGCATTAATTCCATCAGGCATTTCTTCAAGACATTCTTTTATTTCCTTGTCGTCGTTGCTCAGAGTGGCTGTGAACTCAAGCTTAAAAGCAAGATATCTATGCATTAGATCCACAACACATCCCGTCTCTCGAACACTGTTGTAGTTGAGAACACTTGAAATTAAAAATTTTAAGATTTTTACGGACAAAATTTTGCGGACAGAATTTTGCGGACAAAATTTTTGCGGACAAAAATTCCCCTCAAAAGTGGGCCCCTTTTAAAAACTTACATATCCCCATTATCATCAAATTTAACATCACAAGCATTCTCGGTTCCAACGTAATCCTTGAGGTCATCGTTGTTTTCCGCGATTCTGAACTTGCGATTTGATATTGTTATTTTGTTCCCAACCAGAGTGTGTCGACCATAACCAACAACAGTATCAGCCACAGAACATTTATGCGATGTCCAAACAGCCAACAGAACAATGAGAAGAAAAGCGGCACGAAGCATTTTTGGAACAACAATTGTTTTTTGGGATAATAGAAGAAACAGCTAATTTTCTAGGCTTTTATAGTGCCTATGTCCCATTGTTCATGTATCTGTTCCTTTTTTTGAGATTGAATTTGAGGATTCATTTAGAAACGATCAGAGAAAGTGCCAAGTATTGCTAGTAATACTAGATACACCTCTACATATTTAAGAGACGTCTTTTAAATTTGTTTCCTTGCCTGATGGAGGATATGCCTAGGTACCCGGGATCTAGCCGACATAAAAAATAAATTCCCTTTCAGGAATCGGGAATTCACGACAAAAATTTAATTCACGATTTTCGGGAATCGGTGTCATTCCATTGGGGAGGGCATTCAAATTGAGGGGTATTAAGGGGCATTCTATTTGAGATAACACGGTACTTTAAGACTAGCTTTATCTGCCTTGATCATTTTGTAATATTTTTGGGAAAGAAATAAGGAGAAGAAAAGAAAGATGTAAGTATGCCAATGTGATATCCTCTATTTAATGCGAAGTAAAGAAAGATGCAGGTATGCCAAAGTGATGTCTTCTATTTAAGGCATACTTCATTATAAGATTAAAATTTAGTCTTAAGGGGGGCATTTAGTATATTACTCCAAGGAGAGTATATTTTAAAATCTAATTTTTTATTTAATAAAAATATTAATTAAATTCCATTGACTTTTGATACCTTAAAAAATAATTTTTTTAATTTTAAACCAAACTTAAAATTTATTTTAATTTTGTTTGGTTTTCCTTGATTTTCTTTATATTCTAATTGAACCACAATGCTTATTTGAACCAAAATTTCCAAGTTTTTCAGAAGAGATTTTATTTAATTGATTAAAAATTAGTTCAAAAAATTTAAAAAATTTTCCTTTCTTTTTTTTAAATTATTTGAACAAACAAAATTTTTGAAATGATTTGAATATATTTAAATCCTGACTTAAAAACTTGACATAATCACTTTTACTTAAGAAGAGAAATAGCCCCAGCTCTGCTTTACTAAAAATTCACTCATTGCTTAAAAGATATTTAAATTTATGGCCATAATTCTTTTCACTTCTTTCATTTCAAGCCACGTTGATAATTGATTTTTGTGGATTTTTTTCTTCAAAAAAATTAATTTTTCTTCTAAAATGTACCCAAAATTTTATTTATTCAAATGACATTTAATAAAATTGAGAAAATTTTTTATTAAAATAATTTTTTCTTATTAATTTTATTAAATTTTATTTGAATAGACAAAAAGTTTGGGTACATTTTAATAGAAAAATTTTCCTTATAAACTTTTAGAAGAAAGATACCACAAGGCTCACATTATAAAATTGCTTAAATTTAAAGCAAGGTACCTCCCTCATTCTGTAAAACAATTGAAAGGAGTATACCGGAAGTGGCAATAAATGCCAGTTAACGAACAGACTAGCCCGTTCATTGACATACACCTCAACTTTAATCGGGCCACCCGAAATCCTGACTTTTTTTTACCTGAAACCGTATCTGAAGAAAATTTTTAAACCCCACCAGACTTTTTCTCAACCCGACCCATCACTGATTTAGTCTTTTCTAAATCAATTTTAATGGCTGAAAAAATTGAGGGAATTTTTCTCGGGGAATTTTATTTGATTTTTTTTTGGATTTTTGTCAAAAAATTCAGGTTTTTTTTAAAAATTCTGGTCCAACTCTACTTTAAACTATAACAAAATTTAATGTAATATTTTACTTACAAAAAAATGTTAAATGAATTTTTAAATTAATTTTATTTCCAGATTTTTATTTTAAATATTAAAAATTAAATTTAAAAAAAATGACGCCTTCAACCAAACTTTTGATTATTTCAATTTTTATTTTATTTATTTCATTTCAATTAATTTATTGCTGCGGCACATATGGCCAGCCCTGCGATAAAGGTTGCTGCCCAAATTTATGATGTTCTGACGCTTATGATGTTGATGGGAATGTTGTGGGGCGAGCTTGTTTTGATGTGCTTGGTTAAATTGAAAAAAAATTTTTCTTTCTATTTTCCTCTATTTTTGAAAATTTTGGTTACTTTCTTTCTTTTTTCTAATTTAAATTTAAATTGAATTGTGGATAAAACATGTGTTTGGGAAAAAAATTTTTTTATCAATCGACATCACTTGTAACATCCATCTTAAGAGATTAAACTAAGAAGCAACAATCATAATATAAAACTTCTGAATTAAGAGAAGCCTCAGACCAAAGACTCGAGTTAAAAAATGAATTTTATACATATAGGGCGCATAATTTAAAGAATTTTCCCTCAACGTACTAAATATGTATTCTTTAAATTAAAGTATTTTTAATTTTCTTAATAAAAAATTCACTCATTTTACCGTGTCTTTCACACTGAAAACCAGGCAATGAAACGACCATTAATTTGAATTACTTTCTTCAAATTGATGGTCGTTTCATTGCCGCGAGTTCAGTGTGAAAGACACGGTAAAATGAGAGAATTTTTTATTAGTCTTACAATTAGTGTTAGATTTATTATTAAATTAGAAAACAAATAAATCAACAATACAGAAACAAGAATCCAAACAAAATTTTATTCAAAAGTACTTTCCCCCTTGGATCTTTCTTCAACTTTGGTTGACATCCTTTTATCATCCATTGTATCGTTAACAGTTTGTTTGCCTACAACAGTCGTCCCCTCACCAATATTTGTGCTCGAAACATATTTCTTTACTTGAAGGTCTGTAGCATATGTAACTTGTGTTGGTGTATCATCATAAGTCGGAGAAGCCTCAAGTTTTGGTTTGCCTCGATCGGCAATCATATACGAGTCTGTACTTCGAGCGGTTGCCATTTTAACTGTTTGATTCTTTTCGCTCTTCTTGCAACATAGAGATAGACAGAGGAGAAGGACGATAAAAGTAACAATGCTGAAATTTAAAAAATTGTCAAGGACCCTAACTAAGAGAGGTCCGAGGAGAGAGACCTATGAGAGCTAAAGGGTCTGCTTTTACTAATTTTCAGAGGGCACCGAAACCCATCGGAAATATTTCCGTCTGGAAACTCACAATATCACAATGCTGACTACAATGACAATAATAAATGTTTTGTTATTAGAAGGCAGAGAAGGAGAAGAAGGTTCCCCTCTAGTTGTTGTTTCCATTTGATTTTCTGTTGTTTTTGTTGTTGTCGTAGTCCCAGCCGTTGTTTTAGTCGTTGTTGTTATTTTTGTTGTTGAAGTAGTTGAAGGAATTTCTTCATGTCCATGCATTAAAAGCTTGTATTTTGTCCCGTTCTGCAAAAATAATAAAATATTTTTAAGGCCAGACCTCATTCTGAGATATCGCTTTTGGGGCTACAAGGGATACTCATAAACAGAGGATATGGCTTAGACAGCTCCCTAATGGTCAACCAAATTTTAAAAACGTCTCTTAAATCGAGATTTAGTTTAAGATCCACTCACAAATTTAGCAAAAATATTGCATATTGGCCCTTCAATTTTAGTTGTTTTATTAATCCATAACACATCTGAACGAAATACTGACGCTTTTTGAGGTAGGAGATAAAAAACAAATAAATATTTGTATTTCTCGTTTAAAAATGTTTTGTCTTCAATTTTCCAAGCTTTCGGTTTGATTATTCCTTCGTCCGAAAGACATGGATTTTGAAGACAGGAGAAATAGGGCCTTCCATCAACCTGTGTCTCATTCTGGCCAACCGATATTTTGAAGTGAGAAGACCGTTTGTTTATGCTTTCATGTTCATTAACAGCACTACATACTGAGGGACTGCCAACTGAAACAATAAAAAATGTCAAAAGGTAAAAACGAGAAAATGACAGGCCTAGAAAGTGTCCCTATTTTACGTGTAAATATCTCACTTGGCATCCAGTTTGAAGATACAAGCTGCACAGTACTTTTTTTCGACCATCCAATTTCCAGTCCAGTTCGTTGCAAGCATCCTCCGTATTCTTTTACACAATGGGCTTTTTCAGAACAACTAATTTTATCGTTATAGGGTGGTCCTTTTGAAAGAGTTGCGAACCAGCCAATATCAATGCTATAAGCAAATGGAAACCTAAAAAATCGAAGAAATTTAAAAGGAACTAAAGAAGCCGCTTTTACATATTTGAATTAATCCCATTAGATGTTGCTATAAGACATTCCTTCAATTCCTTGTCGCCATTATCCACGGTAGCGTTAAAAACGAATTGACCATCCCACGAATCTATCAGTAGATCAGCAACGCATCCCGTTTCTTTGACTTTGTTGTAGTTCAAAGTGCTTTAACGAAAAATTGGCTTAAAGTGGAAGCTTTTCACTTACATGTCTCCATTCTTCTCGTCAAAGGCAACATTGCAAGAATTCGGGCCTTTGTACTCCTTGAGATCTTCGTTGCTTTTCACAATCCGTTTTGCTGTACCCATTATCTGGATTATATCCCCATTTAAAATGTGATGACCGTAGCCCACATAACTTATGTTGGAGACGACAAAATCTGGCCAAACAGCCAACAGAACGAAGAGAATAGCAGAGCCTCCAAGCATTTTGTATAAATTACTTGAAGGATGTAGAGAAGGATGTTTTGGTGTTGGGATATGAAATAAACTTGTTTCTGTGTTTTTATAGTCAACAAAACATATAAAAGCCGACAACATTCAAAACATTTATTCAAACCTATCTTCAAACAAAATCCACAGCTTTTTTCTGTTTCTAATTTGCCCTACAAACAATTGTTCTTCCAACAATGCTTCGTGAAGCTTTTCTTCTGTTGTTTGTTTGGACATCGCTTAAGTGTTCTACTATGGCTGATGGGCCTACTATTGTTGGATATGGTCGACATACTCTGGTTGGGAACAAAATAACTGAGTTTGGCAATGCTAGCAGGATCGCAGAAGACAACGAAGACCTCAAAGATTATATTGGGACTGAGAATGCCTGTGATGTAAAGTTTGATGAAAATGGGGATATGTAAGTTTTAGAAGGGTGGATTTTTAAGGGGAATTTTTGTCTGGCATCTAATGATTTTTAATCTTAAGTGTGCTCAACTACAACAGTGTTCGAGAAACGGGATGTGTTGTGGATCTAATGCATAGATATAATAGTTTTGCGCTTGATTTCACAGCCACTCTTAGCAACGACGACAAGGAAATAAAAGAATGTCTTGAAGAAATGCCTGATGGAATAAACGCCAATATGTAAGATCAAATTTTTGATAAAAAATTCTTTTGCTCTTTTTTAGCGTTCCCTTCGCCCACAGCATTGATTTGGAACGTTTTGAGAAACTCAAAAAAGGACCATACAATGAGGACGCTTCTTGTGATAACGCAGCTGCTTGCCGCAGTGGAGGTGGGGAGTGCTTGAAGCCTGCAGGGTTGGAAATTGGTTGGGGCTATAAAGGAGATAGAGTCCATGTGGGCATGCAACAGGGTGAGATTTTTGAAGGAAGCTATCTAATCATACAAAAAAATTTTCTAGTTGGGGAGCCCAATTTGTGTGAATGCCCTCATAAAAACGACCGAATCAACCTTAAAGAGTCTTCATTCGAAGTGCATGTTGATGATCAAATTAGCTGGTTTAGTTTGGATCCAGTAGAGAGACATTGTTATGTTCATTTCGGCCTCTGTAGACCGCCTTTCGTCTGTAATAGTATCAAGTCGACAATGTTTGAAATTGAAGGATTAAGTCCAATGACTTGGGAGATCCGCTACAGAGCGAGCAAATATACTTACTACAACCGTCTGCTTTCCTTATATTTGCTGCCACAAAAGGCAGCTTTCCAACATCATGAAGGGAAAAGTATTACAAGGAAAGCGCCAACTGGGCCTAAATGCAATATTCAACTCAGAATTGTAAGTTTAAAAAATCAACATTCAGACCTCTTTTGTAGAGACACTCAATACTAGAACACCTCTTTTTAGGACCGTTTTCTAAATTTGGCAGGCCTCTTTTGGCGGGAGTTTCCTAAGCGATTACAGCTTTCCAACATCATGAAGGGAAAAGTATTACAAGGAAAGCGCCAAATGGACCCAAGTGTAATATTCAACTTAGAATTGTAAGTTTAAAAGTCAGATTAAAAACCTCAATATTGTAAATACACCCGATACTGGATACACCTCTATCTAAGGGTGATGGATCCCGGATGATTTGACCTTTTCGAACCGAAATTTTCTGATATCCTATCCTTCTCAGATTCAGATCCTCCACCTCGCCTATCTAAAAGAGCTTTTTTAAAGTCCATTAGGTGGGGGAGATCTCTAAGCAATACTCTCTGTTTAAGATAGACTTAAAATGACTTTTAAAATTTAATTTCAGAATGGCAAGGAATACAAGCTTCTAATAAACGATAAACGCGATCTTAAATGGATTCTCCTCATTGCTATGATTCTGCTAATGTAAGGAGATTATTTTTGAAATTCGAAAAAATTCTCTTATAATTTTAGCTTAATTTGCCTTGCTGGTATCGGTTTCGTCATCTATATGAATGCAAAAACGAAAGAGGACATGGATAAGATGAGACGAAATATGAACTGAAATGATGAAAAATATACATAATATATAGGGTGATAAATAAAAAAATTTTTTCCTTTGTATAGGTTGTTAAAGTGGGAATAAATGTTAGATGATATATCGAATGTAGATATTCACTTTTTGGGGTATCGCTTCGATATCTTCGTCTAATTTACAACCAAATTTTAAAATTTAATATTGAGACAATCTACAAGTTAGATCCGACCATGTTATGAATTTTAATATTTAAAAGTTCGCTTTGCCAAGAAAAAATTCTGAAACCTCTTTTAACCTCACAAAAACCCCAAAAACAAAAAACCCATTTTATATATAAAGTTTTTGCTTCGAAATATCCCTTCTCTCATCTTTTTATTGTTCTCCCCCTTAAAAAATAATTTTTACTCCTTTTTCATTACCGTAGATCCCTAGCTTTTCACTTACATGTCTCCATTCTTTTCGTCTGAAGTAACATTGCAAGAATTCGGGCTATTGTACTCCTTGAGATCCGTCTCGCTGTAGCACTATTTGGATTATATCCCCATAAATTATATGGAGAAGACAAAATCTGGCTAACAGAATGAAGAGAGTAGCAGAGACTCCCAGCAATTTGTGTAGATCACGTGAAGGAACGATTTGTTGTTTTGACTCTTGTTTGAATGTTTGGAAAGACTCCAAAAGTTTTTGTGTTTTTATAGTCAACAAAACATATAAAAGCCAACAACATTCTAATCTCCCAAAAACAATTGTTCTTCCAAAAATGTTTCGTGAAACTTTTCTTCCCATTCTTCTGTTGGTTGTTTGGACATCGCTTAAGTGTTCTACTATGGCTGATGGGCCTACTATTGTTGGTTATGGTCGACATACTCTGGTTGGGAACAAGATAACAGAGATGGGCAAAGCTACCAGGATCGCAGAAAACAACGATGACCTCAAAGATTACATTGGAACTGAGAATGCCTGTGACGTGAAGTTTGATGAAAATGGGGATATGTAAGTTTGAAGGGGATTGACTTAAGCTTTGTCCGCAAAATTTTGTCCGCGAAAATCTAATGATTTTTAATTTAAGTGTGCTCAACTACAACAGTGTTCGAGAGACGGGATGTGTTGTGGATCTAATGAACAGATATGTTGGTACTTCGTTCGGATTCACAGCCATTCTGAGCAACGACGACAAGGAAATAAAAGAATGTCTTGAAGAAATGCCTGATGGAATTAATGCCAATCTGTAAGAAAAAATTCCTTGATGAAACTTTCCTCTTTCTAGGGTTCCCTTCGTTTATGGCATTGATTTGGAACGTTTTGAGAAGCTCAAAAAAGGACCATACAATGAGGACGTTTCTTGTGCTAACCAAGTTGCTTGCCGCATTGGAGGTGGGGAGTGTCTGAAGCCTGCAGGGTTGGAAGTTGGTTGGGGCTATAAAGGAGATAGAGTCCATGTTAGCATGCAACAGGGTGAGATTTTTGGGAAGGAAACTTTCTAATCAAACAAAAATTTTTTCTAGTTGGAGAGCCCATTTTGTGTGAATGTCCTCAAAAATTCGATCGAATCAACATTAAAAAGACTTCAGTCGAAGTGACTGTTGATAGTTGGCTTACCTACTTTAAATTGGATCCAACAGTGGATCATTGTAACGTTTATTTCGGACTTTGCAAACCGCCTTTTGTTTGTAATAGTGTCACGTCGAAAATGCTAGTTCAAATTGAAGGATTAAATCCAGCGACTTGGGAGAATCACTACAGAGTGAACAGATTTACTTGGTTCGACCGTCTGCTTTCTTTGTATCTGCTGCCACAGAAAGCAGCTTTCCAACATCGTGGAGGGAAAATTAAAAGGGAAGCGCCAAATGGGCCAAAATGCAATATTCAACTTAAAATTGTAAATTTAAAAGCCAGATTAAAAACCTCTTTTGTGAATACACCCAATACTGGATCTCTATCTAAGGGTGGCGGATCCTGCCAAATCTTCGTATACCGTATCCGAACCGAAATTTTCGGATATCCTATCTTTTTTCAGATCCAGATCCGTCAACCTTACCTCTATCTAACAAGGAAAGGTTGCGAGGTGTCTGACATAAAAATAGTCGAGAGCGGACACCAAATCCAAATCGGCATAAGATTCTTGCTAGAAAGGGCACATTCTCTATCGTATGAGCTCGGTCTCGACCGTTTTTAGGTCGGACACCTCGCAACCTTTCCTTACAAGAGAGCTCAAAAAGTTGTCTGTCCATTAGATGGGGATGATCCCTAAGCAATAATCTTTCCTTAAGAAAGACTTAAAGTGACTTTAATTTTAAAAAATTTAATTTCAGAGTGGTGCAGCATACAAGCTTTTGATAAATGATAACCTTGGTTTTAAATTGATTATTTTTGCTATTGTAATAATGTAAGATAATTTTTTTGAAATTCGAAAAAAAATTTTTGTTTAATTTTAGCTTAATTTGCCTTGCTGGTTTCGGTTTCGTTATCTACATGGGTGCAAAAACGAAAAAGGAGGATAGGATGAGACGAAATATGAACTAAAATGATGAGAAATATACATAATATAGGGTGATAAATAAAACTTTTTCCTTTGTATAGGTTGTTAAGGTGGGAATAAAAGTTAGATGATATATCGAATGTAGATGTTCACTTTTTAAGGATGATTCACCTAGAGCATTTAAAATGCTTAGGCGGAGGTTAAACGATCTAGAAGGATAAAAGAGAAAGCATTGGTCGTCGCCAGTGTTCATAAATTTTACTTTTGGCCTCGTACTTCGTACCAACGTACGAGTACCAATTTTGGTACGAGCTATGAACACTGGTCGTCGCTCCGGTAGCTAAGTGGTAGAGCTTCTGCATTTGTGTAAGGCCGAGAGAGCATTTTCAGTGTTGTTGCAGGTTCGAATCCTGTCGGTGGCTAAACTTTTGCTTAACTCTTTCTCTTTTGGGAGTAACGCTTAAATATCTCTCCTTAGTTTACAATCAAATTAAAAAATTAATTTAATATTGAGTCTATCTATCTACAAGTTAGATCCGACCGTGTTATGAATTTTAATATTTAAGGGTTCTCCTTGTCAAGAAAAAATTCTGAAACCCCTATTGACCTCACAAAAACCTTAAAAAACAAAAATCTCATTTATTTATAAAAAATTTTGGCTCTACTCCAGTTTATGCGTCCAATCGACTTTTATGCGTCCAATGAAAGTTTATGCGTCCAATAAAAAGAAAATTGGATTTTTCTTGGTATTACACAGTTGGGGTATGGGTCCAAACCATTTCTTCATGTTCGGGATTTACGTCCACTGGGTCTAGGACCATTCCTTACCCGACCCCTCGAAATTTCTTAAAGTTATAATCGTTTTTCTGAAATTTTAAAAAATTGGCTGTAACTTTAAAAAATTTCTAGGTATAGGGTAAGGAATGGTCCTAGACCCAGTGGACGTAGGTCCCGAACATGAAGAAATGGTTTGGACCCATACCCCAACTGTGCAATATCAAGAAAAATCCAATTTTCTTTTTATTGGACGCATAAACTTTCATTGGACGCATAAAAGTCGATTGGACGCATAAACTGGAGTAGAGCCAAAATTTTTTGCTTCCTCATTCTCTTTATTTTCCTCTTATTTTATCACTCAACAACAACAATAAATTAATATAAACAAAAAAATTTTCTTCCTTTTTTTATAAATTGCATGACTCGCTTTTATCATCTTTGCGTGTGTTCCTTTGTAAATTAAAAATAGAGGAAACGGTCAACTAAAAATGGTTTTAGGCTTTTTGCCTTTTCTTGACTTTTTTCCTTTTAAATGCTCTTTTTTTATTGTTAGAGCAAGACCAGTTTGGGCGCAATGTCGATTGGGCGTTTGCTTATAAAATGATTCAAATGGCACCTAAAATAGTCAAAATTTGCACAGATCTTGATGAGACAGTTATCTAATTACTCTGAAAATTTCATAATTTTTAGTTCATTATTTCTGAAGTTACGGTCAATTATTACAAAATTTTACTTAAAAATTTTCAGTTTTCTCACAACTTTCCCTCATAACTTTTGAAATACTTAACCCAAAATTCTAAAATTTTTAGAAGACCTAGATAACACTACTAGCTATATCTTAGCAAAATTTCAGGAAATTTGGTCATCTTTCCTTCGAGATATAAAGCGCGGCGCCTTTGCACTTCCGCGCCGAAACATCTCTTTCTTCCTCGTTTTATTGTTCTCCCTCTTAAGAAAATAATTTTTTACATCTTTTCCATTTCCGTTGATCCCCTAGGGATTTTTGGGGCATTTTTACTTTCCGTCCCATTTTTCTTTTGTTTTTTCCTCAACTCAGTTTTAAAAAAGGCTTAAAGAAAATGCCAATAAAATATAACAATTCCCTTCTTTTAATGTATATCCATCAAAAAATAATTTTTTAAAGGGGAAGTTTGTATTTTTTTTACTTTTTTTCTTAAGAATGTTCCCAAAATAATTTTTAAAAAATTTTAAAAAATTAAATTTTTTTAAGATACTTTTCGGTAGTCTCCGCACATTTTACTTTTCTCCTCCTCCATTTCTCCTTTTTCCTAAAATGTACAGAATGGTCAAAGTTAAGTCACTATCAACTGCAATCCAAACAGAAGCTGCTCTATCTAGGGGTCTACTCACTCTGGGTCTCAAGTACATCCCAAGCTATAACTTCGCTCAAAATTCTCAAATCCGTGATGTCATAGTATGGTTCGATTCAGGTCCTCGAGGTGTATCAATCAAACTAGGAGGTCCCGGACTCGACCATTTTGAAACAGGTTGTAGCTCTGCAGTATATTGGCCTGTTCCCAGGTCTACTTACCAGAGTTATGGTACCATAACATAGGTTCTAGAAGCAGAGCTGGATACTTATCGCCTAGGACTTGCTTAATTATTATTTGATTCTTATCATTTTTAAATGAGCATTAACTTAAATTTTCTGTTTATTCAATACATTTTCCCTTAATTTTACACTTTTTTTGCTCTTTTACTTTTTTACACAACAATTTTTCTCTTCACTGAATCCAAAAATAAATAATCATGTACACATATATTTTTTGTTAGAACGTCATTAGCACATTAACAAAAAAACAACATTTTTAAGTGCAAAATTGAGCGAGAATTTTATACTTTTATTTTTTGAAAAATAAAAACTTGCCAAGCGAATTAATTCTAGGAAAATTGTAGTTTAGAAATTTGTTGTTAGTAAATGTATTTATGGGGGAATTCCACCCACCACTAAAAATAAATTTATGTTTTGGTAAACTATTCGCAAAATGAGTGTTGATTTAGGAAGGGCTAATTATTATTAGTGTTATACCCCGTCCACGAAAAGTTTTTTTTAATTCACCGTCGCCCTCCCGTAGCGCTGCCTCCCCGAAAATTCTTCCCGTGGCCCACCCCCCCCCCCCTTCGGGGTTATGCTGTGGAAAAATTTATTGAATGGGAGCAGAGGATGCTCCAAATTATGATTTCTGACTTCCAATTTCCGAAAATTTGCGTTGATTTCCGATTTCCGAGTTCCGCTTTTTAAGCCATTTCCGACAGTTCCGATTTCCGGCACTTTCGTTATTTCCGATTCACCTCTGGATGGGGGATGTAATTGACCATCGCGGGAATAGCCCACACCCGAAGCACAACCGAATGTGCCACCGTCCAACCCGATGCAGGGTTGTTTATTTTCATTTAATGCATTCCTATTGCAAGTGTGGACCAAAGGTGTGTCGGAATTCCGATCACCGACGTTTTTTCCTTCCGATTTCCGACACCTCTGACTGTTCCGACCCACTTCTGGTGTGGACACAACACTAATTTTAAAAATCGTATAAGTAAGGTGTCCGACTTTAATTTTAAAAACTTTTTATTTTTCTAAAAATAAATTTAATACGTCTTTTTTAAAAGAATTTATTTCCTCTTTTTATAATTAATTAATTTAATATCCCCAAAATTTTTAAAAATTTTTTATTTATTTAAAAATATTCTAAAATAGTCAGTTGTTTAATAAATCAAAAAAAAATATTTTTAATATTTTAAAAGTTTAACTTTACACAAAAAAAGAAGGGGACAACTGTTTTTTGTCTACCCAAAAGAATTTTGAAAAAAAAACATTTTTATATACTCTAATTAATATCCATAATTTAAGAAAATCCTTTTTTTATTAATTTTTATAATGTGGACGTACGAAACCGAAAGCTTTTCAAGGCTCGAGGTTTTCCAAGGCTCAAGGGGTTGGAAAAAAATCGGGTCGGGTTCAGGGCGTAAAAGTGCGGAGGTACTTTTCCGTTATGCCACCTCCCCCTAAATTAATGTTTAAAATGTCATATATAGGGTAATAAAAGGTGCTGAGTCGAACGGTACCACTCTTTTTTCCCGGAAATGTCTCTGGACCGAGATGAGGGCTTGAAATGGTCAAAAACCATAGGGTCATTTTGTGGTAAAAAATTCAAATATACAGTTAACCAGTCCATCCAAGTCGGGTCGAAAAAAGCCCGTTTTCGGGTATCGAGTGGTAACTAAAGCTCGGGCGAATATGGTCATGATTTCGAATCACCAAAAATTTTGACTTTTACGCTACTTTTTTTTTAAATTTAATCATCTTTCTCATTTTCTTTTTTTTCTACTCAATTTTCACCTTAATTTAATTTTATTAAGTTTTTACACAAATTAATCAATTTATACATTATTTTTACGCCCCCTTTCTTTAAAATTCTTTTGACTAAAACAGCTGTTTTCTCAACTTTCCCTCTTTTCTTTTAAATTTTTTTGTTGGCAATTCAAGAACTATTAACAAGAAAAAAATTTTTTTTTCAATTTTTTTCTATATTTTCTGCCCTTTCTAAATATACTTATGAATTTATTAAATATTTAGGAGGGAGGGGGAGAGGTTGGGAAGAGGGAGAAAATCCTTCCCCCCCCCCCCTAACGTTGTCGTTTCTCCCCCAGTTTTTGTCTCTTTATTCCCCCCAATTTTTCTTTTATTTTTACCATTAATTCAATTGCAAATATTCCCCATAAATCCCCCATAAATCCCCAATAAAATTAGGGACAAAATTGGGGTAAGGGGAATTTTTTTCTAATTTTTTTTCAATTTTTTAGAGAAATATAACTAAATTAATGAGTAAATTACCATAAAATAAAAAATTGAGTAATAAAAAAGGGAGAGAATTTTAAATTTATTTTTATGAGTAAATAGAAATGTTTATTTACTTGGTTATGATGCACTTTTAAAGTTTTTTTTGGTTGGAAAATCAATTAAATTTAATTTTAAGTTTTGTTTTAAATTTTATTATGTAGATGACATTTTATCCCAATTTTTTCGACTTTTTTCGAATTGGAATTGTTCAATATTTATTTTTTATGTGTCATATTGTAGCCTAGAATCTGCTCTATCTTTTGACATTTAAATTGTAATTGAGTCGATTTTATAAGGAAAGTTATGGGGGTTTAAATAACCTACATTGAAGTTTAGATATCTTGATCAGACGTGAACAAAATTTTATATCATTTTGTATTTTTGACCCAAAAATTTTTTTCTTAGCTATTTTATAGCTCTGATTCTCCTCTATTTTTTGACATAATGCTTGAATTATTTCAAAATTTTTAAGGTCGAGTTACTTATTTTTAAACACCTCTTTACCTTTATATAGACATCCTGCCCAAATTACTTCAAAAATTCATAACATTTTTAAATTTTAATTTTTCTGGCTAATTTTTAGCTTATTTTGTAGCCCAGATTCTCTGCTATTTTTTGATATAAAATTTTGATTTATTGATAAACTTAACCGCTAGTTATAGACCAGATAATGTCTTCTACTCGCATTTTAAAATCCTCTTTTTAAATCTCTCAAAAAATTTTTTAACTATTTAATTACCTACTTTTTAATATTTTCTATATTTAAATTTACCTAAAAACCATTTAAATTTAAAAAAAAAAGAGTGGGAGTCCTAAACAAAATATGTATGTTTTCGAATCCAAATCCACTCACAGTTTATGTACTTATTTTTTCATTCATATTTTATTGCTTACATAATTTTATTTTTTTAGAGTTGCAATGCTCTTTTCAATTTTTATCAATATTATTCAGAATTGAAAAAAATATGAGAAAAAAATTTTTTTGGTTTTCAAAAAAAAATAAAAATTTTCGAAAATTTTTCAAATTTTTTTAATTTTCAAAAAAAAAAATTTTTTAATTTCAAAAAAATTTCAAAAAATTTTTTCTACCCCCTTTTAACGCCTTTTTGAATATTTTTAAAAAATCTTCCAAATTTTTGAAAATATTTTTTTCAATTTTTTAAATTAATTTTCCAGTCAAAATCTCTCGTCATTTTTCCCTTCTACTATTTTGGCTATATTTAAAATGTACTAATAAATTATTTTATTTAATTAAAGCTTTAAATGTTTTTATTTATTTAATTTATTTTCCCTTCCAATTTACACCATTTATCCAATTTCCGTTTTTAACTGGCCTTTTGGGGGAAAATAAAAATAAAATTTTGTCCTTTTACAGTCATCATGGAGAGAGATTTCTCTCTCTTCCTCTCTCTCCCTTTTTTATTTTTAATTTAATTTTGGCAGATTTTTTTGCTGAAGGGGTAAACATGCGTTTTTATTTTTTTCAGATTTACTTCCTTCTCTTTTTTAACTGCGAGACTTCTGAAGCTTCCAAAATATATCAAAGTCGAAGATAAAAATTTTCGAAAATCGAAATTCCGAACCAACGCTAGACTTGGTCCATCCTTCCTTTATTTCCTCAAAAAATCCGCAAGTTTAGTCCGCAAGTTTAGTCCGCAAGTTTAATCCGCAAGTTTAATCCGCAAGTTTAATCCGCAAGTTTAATCCGCAAGTTTATTTTCTAGTAGAGACCTGCCTTTTTTGTTCTATCAAAAACCTTGATACCGATAAACAAAATATCTTCCTTTTAACGAGCCTCTTGATCCATTTTTTCATCAATTTTTACTTGCGGAAAAAACTTGCGGACAAAAATTGCGGACAGAACTTGCGGACTTTTTTAATCATTCTTTCCTTATTAAGAAAAATCTAAAATTATTTTTATTTTTTAAATAAATTTAAGAAATTTATTTTTTTTTTTTTTAATATTTATGCAGCAATCACAGGTACAAATAAAAGTACACTGACAGTGATTGTAAAAAAAACAAAATATGTATAAGTTGTGAATACAATAAATTTAAAAAAAATAAATTAAAAAAAAAATTAAGTATTGAATGTAAAAATGAATATTTTGTATGTATATAAAAAAATTTTTTTTAAACACTAGGTACTAGACAGACTAAGTAAATCAATTCTTTTGGTATATTCCCTGAATTTTTTTAAATCTCTAATCTCAACAATTTCCCTAGGTAATTTGTTCCATAAGGAGACTATGCGAGCAAAGAAGTTATTTTTTGATTTGCTAGTGAATCTTTTATTTTCTATCAAAAACCTTGATACCGATAAACAAAATATCTTCCTTTTAACGAGCCTCTTGATCCATTTTTTCATCAATTTTTACTTGCGGAAAAAACTTGCGGACAAAAATTGCGGACAGAACTTGCGGACTTTTTTAATCATTCTTTCCTTATTAAGAAAAATCTAAAATTATTTTTATTTTTTAAATAAATTTAAGAAATTTATTTTTATTTCTTTCTATAAATAAAATTTAATTAATATATTTTTCCTAAAAAACTCTTTAAATTTTTTCTTTTAATCCCCCCACCATTTTATCGCGTGGTAAAACTAAATTTTTCTTTTTTTAATTTTTTTCTTTTGTCATTTTATTTTTATTAGTTTTCTTTTTTTTTTGCATAATTCTTGTCCTTTCTAAAAACAAAAAAAAGTTTGCGGACGAA